TGCTGACGACTAGAATAAAATAATTTACCACATTGAATAGCAAAACCCATAATCCATTCACGTTCTTTCTGAGTCAGTATTCCATCGGCCGAGGCTACATCCATTAGAGTTCTCATGTAAAAAAGAACAGCTTCAGGTGTAGCAATTTGTCCATCGTGACAAACCTGATCACGAAAAAACCACTGGGTCACCATTTTGTCTCGTGCTGATAACTCGGTACTCATGATCAATCTAGATCAAAATTACTATAGAATGAAAGAAACAATAAACACATTTCAATCTCACTTTCGATAGTTTCCAGGCGTTGTATGAATACGAATGAAAGAAACAATTCATTTCTACTGACATCTTATATACATGCGAAACAACTCGAGATGACGCCCACGTCATGTTCGACAACGAAATGAAAAGAAAGATTGAAACAAAATTGTACTATAGAATATGATTGAATCGTTTATCAATGCTTTCTTTTTCTCTTTCTTTCGTTTAGTGTTACTGCCTGGCATGTTCGACAAATTATAAATCAATTTGTTTCTTTTATTTCCAAATATTGCTTTTATTTAGTAACGATGCTGGAGTACCACTCGATGTTTAATGTTTGAAGACTATTTATAGAACAATCCGCGTGCAGGAAAGAAATAACTTACTTGTGTGGAGATGAAAGTGTGCATGCTGAGTTTCTTCTATGAGAAAAATTAATTATTCATTGCGTTGTCAACCAGAGGCCGAAACGGGGAGAATTTTTGGTCCCCCGCCTCGCCTCGCCCCGAAAAAAACCTTCCCCGCTTCGCCCCGCCCCGATCTTGAAATATTTTTCTCTTCCCCGCCCCGCCCCGCTCCGAGTTTAAAGTTATTTCTCTCTGCCCCGCCCCGCCCCGCCCCGTGAAAAGTTTTCCCCGCCTCGCCCCGCCCCGTGAAATGCTTTCTCCGCCTCACCCGAGCCTGAAGTTTTTTTTCTTTGCTTCACCTCGCTGAGATCTTACTTTTGTTTTTTCGATGTCTAGTTTAGTCTTTATAAGACATTTTTATATCTTTATCATATGATTTATTTGACCACATATTGCGAAAGATAATCACAAGAACACATGAGTACAAAAATAGATATATAACCACCAGAGTACAAAAATAAATACATAACCACCAGAGTACAGAAATTAATAAATGGTCAACAGAGTACAAAAAGAGTCCTACAGTACAAAAAAGTCCTACAGTACAAAAAAAGTCCTACAGTACAAAAAGAACACCAAAATACAAAAACGCATAGTGTACTCAATCAATCATTACGTTTGTTTTTCTCTATTGAACGAAGAAACAAGATATTATTAAGAGTTGTTGGGTCTAAATTAGACCTTCTTTGATTGATGAGTTGCCCAGCTGCTGAGAATTGTCTTTCAACAGCAGCTGAGCTACATGGTATAGAAAATATACGACGTGCTATACTTGCTAAATGCGGAAAAATATTTTCGTGTTCTTTCCAAAATGACAATGGATTGTCATAATCTTTTTCTTCAATAATCTTGAAATCGATATAAAGATCGACCTCATCTCGTGCTGTTTCTGTACATTTAGTTTTTTTTATTTCACTATCCATTAGCTGTTCCAGAAACTTTTTTGGTTTTTTTCTAATTGGTTCATTTTCATCATCAGTTGTTGTCATGCCAGTTGTTTTTGGCATCGATACTCGACAGGCTCGATAACACTCAGCCTTTTGAGCTGCTGTTGCTGCTATTAGTTGTTTAAATTTTGGATGGAGAAATGATGCAAGAATGTAATCATCTTCCATGATGAACATAGAATTCAAAAAAGACAATGCGCGTTTAGCAAAAATCTTCATACCTATACAATATCCAATACTAATGATAAAGGAAAGAATTAGCATGTTTATACCTTACCACTTTTTTCTTTTCGTTCACGTTTACGTAAATCTTCTTGTAAATAATTTATACACGGAAATACTACATACAGGGATGGTGCATTTCCTCTCTGTAATTCTTTTAAAACATTTCGCCATGGTTGAAAAAAATCAATTAATTGATTGACTATCACCATATTAATTTTTTCAATACGATGTGATTGTTTGTATTCATGTAATAATGCTCGTAGTGGTTCATATGATCGCTTGATGCTTTCAAGTAAATCACAAATAGATAACCAACGAATTTGTGAACATTGATGAATTGTTGTAAAGGGTGAATGTTGTTGTTGTTCATCATCATCAAGTGCTTTATTTAACAATTGTATTTGTCGATTTAAATTAGTCTATAATTATATAAACGTCATAGCTATTTAATTGAAATTTTATTGTAAAAAATTCTTACTTTTTTTACATAATGAACGAGAATTTTACATTGTCGAATCGTTTCAATAATTTCCTGAGCATTCCAGGGAATACTCGACAAATCCAACATTGAATAATCAACTGTTTCAACATCATCATCACCATCTTCATCGTTCCATTCTTCTAAAGCTATTTTTTCTTCCTCATCAATTTGATCGTCGTTCAACATTATTTCTGGAGAAAGTTGTCGTACAACAGTTGATGTTTTCAACGGTGTTATTTCATTTGAAACAATTGATTTTGATTTTGTTGGTGTTTGTTTGCTTGTTGTTGAAAATTGAAAAAATGTTTTCTTTAAGATTCCGTTCAAACGATGAGCAACACAAAACATCAATCGGTGCTGCTTGAGACCCTTGATGAAGTTGGAACCTCTATCTGTAACAAATGTTATTAAATCCATATATTCATCTACCTTATAAAGAGAAAGTTGTTCTTGTATCAACTAAAACGAAAATAACGAATACATAAAATAATTAATTCAGTTATTTACCTTTACAATATTTTCACCGGTTTTTTTATCTTTAAATTCTGTACAAAATAAATCAAATGAATAATAAACAAAATTTTCATCAACCATATGAGCAGTTGCACCTAAATAAGCTATCTTTCTATAATTATCCGTCCAGATATCTGGACTGATCGAAAGACGACCCGATTGTGCACAGCTAAAGATTAATTGTTGTAATTCTTTTCGTTCAAGTTCAGCTTGTTTTACTAATTCATTTCGAACTGTTCGATCACTACATAATATTTCTTGTACTTGAACATTCTCCATATGTAATTCGCGACCTTAATGAAAAAAATAAAGAAAATAAAAAATAAAAAGGTGAAAAAAAAATTACCAATATTTAAACATTCTTGCATTATAGCTTCTAAACCTGAATCAGATATAATTTGAAACGGTCTCATGCCGGTCACCACCCATTGAACAAATAATTTTTTTATATTTTCTTTTTTTTGTTTTATAATTTTTGATAAAATTACTGGACGTGAAGAAGATGAAGATGATGATATTGGTGATGCATGTTGTAATGTTAATTGTTGTTGACCTTTTGAAATTTCTTGTGGGCATTTATGGTCTCTCATACTACTTGTACTTGAATTTGTAAATCGATATGTATGAAAACATTTGAAACAAGATGAATAATTTGGTATAACATCATATTGATTTGAATTTTTATCATTTTTTTGTGCTGGTAAACCAAATTTAAGCCAAATACCACTAGAAATATTTTTCTTATTTCTAACAATCGTATATTCATTACTGTTATTTTTTAACAAATTAGTTATTGTTTTACATCGATTTACATCAGAATTGGATTTGTTTTTATCCGAAGAATTAATCGAAGATGTTAAATTAAGTTGAGATGATGTTACAAGAATCACATCGGGATTATCTTCGTTCAGCATTTGTACAAATTTACTAAACAACAACTCTTAAATCTAAAGCAAAAGTACTGGTTGATATATTATTAGACACAATACTTGAGAATAAAGAAACCAACATTGATTTATTTTGCTTTCTATTCTGTTATGAGTCATCAGAAGGATTTGTGACCAATGACTATTCATCCAATTAGATTTGAAATTATTGGCAAGGTAGCCAGTAATACAGAGACATCTATCATAAAATATATATATCTATATGTATATATATTATTCAGATTGATTGTCTATGTTTGCATGAGTGTTTATTTTATGAAAATATATCGCGGGGAAAATTCGGGGATTTATCTTAACCCCGCCCCGTCGTAATCTATCCCCGCCCCGTCCCGCCCCGTCGTTCCTTCTACCCGCCTCGCCCCGTCATATTTCACCCCGACAAAATCTCTCCCCGCCTCGCCCCGAGTAGGCAAAAACTGTCCCCGCCCCGAATCCCCGCCCCGATTCCCCGCCCCGTTTCGGTCTCTGGTATTTAGATATTTAGAGAAAAAAATGCTTGAAAAAGCGCACCATTCTAAATTTTCGAATCAATTACTAGAAACTAGTAATCAAATAAACATAGATTCAGTCTATAAATGATTTGACATGT